AGGCAGACCTTGGTGCTCCGTGCCCGGCAGGGCCCCGTGGCTCAGCAACAACACACGGAGATGCAGGCTTGCTGCCGCCATTCTCAGACAACCAAAGGCGCTCGGAAGCCCCAGTCACCCAAAGGGCAGGACTGGATCTGGCCCCAGGGCTGGCATGAGTGAGCACCACCACGGGCCAAGCTGCTCAGCCCAACAGAGCTTGTCCAGACCAGGGCCAGGGTGCCCTCTGTGGTGTGGGAACAGGACAGCACCTCCCCTGGGGGGCAGGAGGGCTCCAGGACTCAGTGGCCACAGCAAGCGACTGTCCCAAGATGTGAACGTGGGTGCTGCTGCTGGAGTCAAGGCCCTTGCCCTGAGCTTGGGGCACATGGCCTCCCCTGCAGAGGAGTCTCGTGGCAATGGGACTTGAAGGTGTCCGGGGGACAAGGGACCTGTAAGCCAGGCTGGCTGCCACCTGGGGGCCTTGTGTGAGCACCGGAGCCAGAGTCTGAGCGAGGCGTAGGCTGGGGGCTGCCGAGGGGTAGCAGGCAGTGTCTCTTCCATGGCTCACCCTGCACTCACTGCCGCCTGGCTCCGGGCTGAGCACGTTACCTGCGTTACCTGTGTTATGTGGCTGGAGCCTGACATGGGGGAAGTTCAGAGAGGTCAAGCAACTTGCCCAGGGCACAGAGGGTGAAGAGAAGAGCTAGGATCCCAACCCCCGGCCCTCTGCTCGGAAGCCCGTGCCTGTGACCCCCGGCCCAGGCTGCCTCTCAAGGGCCAGCACCCTTCAGGGGACTCCTCCTCCACTCAGGCCAGCACCCGGGGATGCACCCTGTCCTCTGGGACACTGAGAACCCAGGCTCTGCCCACCCCTGGGCCCTGTGTAGCCCCCAAGGCTCCATGAGAAACTCAGGCCCCGGGCAGCAGCCCAGCCCCCAGGCCCCTGCAGGCTTACCCCCCACCGTGGGCCCCTGCCCCCAGCTCAGGCCCCAGCACCTGTAACACCACCAAACCCGGCAACTGTGCGGAGCGTCCAGGCCTGGAGAACCCTACCCCATGGTCAGAGTGTCCCCCCCCAGCCTAGTGCCCCAGCCCCCTCGGCAGGGCCCGACAAATCCCAGACCAGGGCTCCTGTGGGCACTGGCCCCTGACCCTTTGGCCAGAGGCTGCCAGGATGTGGGCTCATGGGGGCGATGCAGTGGGGGTTCAGGACACCATGGCACCAGTCTCTCCCAAGCAATCACCCTGGCAAAGCCTTCACCCAGGTGGGCAGCCTCGCCCACCCAGCGCCCCCCTTCTCCAGGGGTGTCACCGTGCCACACCAGCCCCGGGGAACAAGGGTTCCACTAGAAAGCAGCCCTTCGGCTCTAAGGCAGGAGCCCCTGACCCCAGTCACAGGGACCCGCCTCAGGCCCTGGCGGTGCCAGCCCAGTCCACCCTTCCTCCCTCACCCGGTCTGCACCCACCTCTGGGGCACCTCCCCTGCCGTCAACACTGGACTCTTCTCCCTGAGCCCACCCCACCCAGAGCTCGCTCTGATCTTCCAGGGGTGGTGGGGTGGGGGATGCTGGGGCTGAGCAGGACGAAGGGATGGCTGGGCTGCCTGGGGGTGGTGACAGATGCCAGGGATCCCCGGGAGGTGGTCCCAAGGCTGCCACTCCATCAGATCACAGGGAGACAGCAGGCAGGACCGAGCCAGACTCTGCTGGAAGTGCACCTGGGCAGGTGGCCTGAGCACCCTGGGCCTCAGTTTCCCCTCCTGAGAAATGGGGGTGTCGTCACCTGGAGGGGTGGCTGGGAGGGGGAGAAGGAGCCAGCCGGAGAGCTGCACTGCACCCACAGGTCAGAGTGCCACACACTCACAGGGCAGAGGGCCGTCCATACTGTTGAGGGCGTGCAGGGGCATGTGAATGGCCACCCCGGCAGGCAGGGGGAGAAGGAGGACCTCATGGCCAGGCAGGGGTAGAGGAGGACCTCACAGCCAGGCAGGGGTAGAAGGAGGAGTTCACGGCCAGGCAGGGGTAGAAGGAGGAGCTCACGGCCAGGCAGGGGTAGAAGGAGGGCCTCACGGCCAGGAAGGCAGGGGTATAAGAAGAAACTCACGGCCAGGCAGGCATGGGTAGAAGGAGGACCTCATGGCCAGGCAGGGCCCGCTGGGCACTGGGGGGCTAAGAGGAGCCTGGCGTGAGGCCCAGCCCAGCAGAGGAAACCTGGTCCCGCCAGCCCCCGCACCACAGGCACATGGGGTCCCCTGTGGGAAGGCAGGCGGGGACCCCTGGAGATGGACAGGCGGGGACCCCTGGAGACGAGCAGGTGGGGACCCCTGGAGACGGGCAGGCGGGGACCCCTGGAGACAGGCAGGTGGGGACCCCTGGAGACGGGCATGTGGGGACCCCTGGAGGCAGGCAGACAGGCAGGCACCCTGGGTGAAGGGCAAGCGGAAACTCCAGATGCCCCTGCTCCACACAGGGCTGATGTGCAGGGTGTGCAGCTCTGGCAGCCGGATTTAAATCCTGACCCTGT